TTTCCCTCTCTGTCTCTCTCGGGCAAGTACATGTTTTAGCTTAGAACGTTTTATCTTTTATGTGCTTATTATTTCAAACTGTTGTACTATGATAGAAAAGTGTGATCTATGTGATACAAGTTCTCTTAAATGTGTTGAAACTTTTGAGACCTGGTAAGTAAACTTGAAAAGTTTTACATTTTTATTAGTTGGGTTGAGAATGTTAACCACAGATACGCCTATCAGCCCAAGCTAGTTAACTATATCATTCAAATATTCTCTATTGTTATTACTTCTTTTGTTTATTAGCTTCAGAAAGGCATGTTTCTTTAAATATCTAACTATAATAGTTTCCTATTGATGAACTTTTTAAAAATATTGCCCACTTTCCTTGCATGTTTTTCTTTTATTCATTATTCATTTTCTTTATTCAGTATGTGCACATGCATGAGAGAGTGAAAACTCCTCGCAGGAAGGACTGAGCATACCTCAATCCTTCTTCCTCCAGTGCTCCATTCTGGCAGGATCCTGGGCACACGAGCACGTGCCTAACTTAACACAGCAGGGGAGAAATTCACACCCCATTGGCCATGTGGGATCTGACTTCCTCTGCACAGTGCTTAACCATTGCTCTGTGGAGCTGGGCCCTTTCTGTGTACATTTGGACTGTTCTATACAAGTTTAAAATTGCTCCATCTTATTTTGTTTTATGTATCAATACAAGGACCATCCATATCCTCATGACTATTGTTTTACTTAAATCTACACTACCTGGTATTACCATAGCTCCAAGCCCTTTGTTTTCATTGGTATTTGCATGTTAAACATTCTTTTAAACCCTTAGTTTTGAACTTTAACAGTGTGGGTTTTTTTCTTTTCTTTTGAAAGATATTTTTTTGCTATAGGGCACATGCTGGGCCTATATGTAAAATTTTCTGCCATTTAATAGATGTATTACTAGATTAATTTATTGGAAATTACTGACATACTTCGTCTAAATTCTGCTCACTTATATAATGATTTCTATTTACTATGCTTCATTCTTTCATCGTTTTAATCTTCTTTCCTGCCCTTGGATTATTCAATTTTCTTGTTTCTCTTGTCTTGCTTTACTATTTTAGTGGACTTTATTTTGTTCATCTTTATATTTATAACATGCATACTGCTTCACTTTTCTCTTTTTTTCTATTGTGAGTTCTGGTTTACCTACAATCATTGTACAGTTCAGTTAGGTGCAGTATGGTTTTCAAAGTATGCATAACATATAACATACAGACATACTCATCTTCTTCAACATCGAACATTACATTATGTTGCATACATTTGGAAATAGTTCTAGTTTTTTCAATATATTTTACCTAAATTCTGCCAATTTATATTGTAATTTCTATTTGCAATCCTTTGTTCTTTTATTTGTTTAAGTCTTCTCACCTGCCTTCTATTGGATTATTAGATTTCCTTGTCCCTTTGGTTTTACTGTTTTGGTAGAATTTATTTTATTCATCCTTATATTTGTAACATGCATACTATTTAATTTTTCTTTTAGAAAGATCTAAAACTGATCAGCATATTCTTCTAAGACGAGATAAGAGCCTTTATTTGACCGTCTTCCCTCCAAACTATTCTTTCCATAGCCTCCATTTTGTTTCATAGTGTTATTTTCAAAAACAAAATAAAATCCTTTACTTCTTTACAATAATTACTTAGATTTACAAAAATGTTTCAAAATTGTTTTTTGTTTAACATTACTTGTTATAGCTCTAGTCTTTCCTCTTTTTGCCCAAATATATTTCTGTCGTGGTTTTTTAAGTCCTATGTGTATGTGAAAATTTTTCCAAGCCTTCGCATGGCTGAAAATAGCTTCACTTCCCCCTCAGCTTTAAAGAGTAGTTTAGCCGAATACAGAACTGAGTATTACTTCCCCTCAGTGCTTTGAGACTATTTTCTTCTATGTTTATTATTGCTGATAAAAATCTAGTACTAGTTTGACAGCTGCTCCTAAGTAAATATATTTTAAGATATTCTCGGACTGGCCCCATAGCCTGGTGGTTAAGGGAGCCAAATCCCATACGGCCGACCATGTGGCTTGAGTCCCAGATTCAGCAGTTTAAACAACATATCAGGCACCTCTGCATGCTTGCCCCAAATCCCAATAGGATGGAGAAATGAAGGAGAAGAAATTGTAGCATGACCATGCCCCATGAGGGATGCTTCTTCTCTCTCCCTCTGTCTTTCTCTGGCAAGTTCACAAACCCTTTAGTAAATACACACACAGACACACACACACACACACACACACACACACACACACACACAGTCTTTATTCTTGTATTTGGTATCTTAATTACCATGTATTTGGGTGTGAGCTTAACTTCATTTATCCTGTTCAAGATTCAAAATTTTCCATTCTATGGACTCAAACAGTTCTTTAACTATAGAAAATTATTAACCTTAATTGCTATAAATATTACTTATATCTACTTCTGTATCTATCTAATAAACAGTACTCTCACCTTATAATACACATAAACAAATGTATGTAAAGTTTCTCTTTCCACCTATCATGATTTATAACTTCTCTTTTGTATTTCTAATTTGTATTAATTAAATTAACCCCAGAGGTTGCAATAAATAAATCTTACATCTCAGTGTTTTTACGTAGTAAAATTTTAGTTGTTACTCATGAAAAGTCCAAAGTAGGAATCCTGATCGGTGACTGGCCCTTCTCTCAGCAATGACATGGCCATCCATATTCATTTGGCCCAGTGTCTCCACCATCTTCACCTAATGGCTTCTGAATTCATGCTTCAGTGAGCAGAGAGGAAACGGCCTAGAGATCTTGAGTGAGAGGCTTTCCCGACAGGGGCGGATGATGCATCCACTGTCATGTCTCTGACATCCTTATATGTCTCTCTTCCACTTTTAAGGACTCTGTGATTACAGTAAGCCCACACAGATAATCTAGTATAATCACTCTATCCATAGTCACGCGACTGGCAACCTTAATTCCATCTGCAACTTTTTTTTAAAATTTGGTAGAGGGTGCTGTGCTCACTAGAGAGGAAGAAAAAACAAGAAAGCATCTCCCATAGGGAATAGTCATACCATAATCCCTTCTCTTCTATTTCTCCTTTCAAGGTTTTTGACATGCACATACACACCTGCCTGGCATGGTTTTCAAGTCACTAGGACCAGGAATTGAATTGCTCCATTGGCCATGTGGGATCCAGCCACCTTAACCACCACACCACTGGCTGATCCACCATCTGCAACTTTAGTTCCCTGTTTCCAAGAGAAAATTCATTTGGTGAACAGCAAGGCCATCTTTGTAATACTATCTTTTTATTTCTCTATGCTGGGTCTTGAATGATTTCACTCAAATTTTTTTGTTTTTAAATTTGATGCCTCCCTTTGTGTCTTTGAATATTTGAAACATAGTTGTGTAAAAATTCTTTTTGAACTACTGTTCTTGTATTTGTTGAGTCTGTTATGGCAGTAGGCCTCTTCAAATACTTTATAACTTTAGTCTATGAGGTGATCATTTAAGTTTCTCATAAATCTTATGTCATGTAATAATTTAATAGGTCATTTAATAGATTTAATGAGTAATTTTTATAATAATTTCTGCATTCATTTTTTTCATGCATGACATGTTCAAACATGGGCTCTGTACCTGAATTCAGCCTTCACTGAGGATTTCATCATTTCTAGAGATTCAATTTGCAATGATAGCCTAGCACAAATGGGGTATTTCATGGTATAACTGGAACAACAGGTAGGGATTAATGTACCACTTTCTCAGATAGTGCTTTTGTGAGCCTTAGATTTATATATATATAAACAACTACTATGTTCTTGGAATGCATGAGGCCTGTGGCCTTTTCTATTGATCATGTATTAAAAATTAAATCACCCAATAAGATTCTCATATACAGGGTGAAACTTCTTATTCATTGTCAACATTATAAATTCTGGTGCCAGCAGGTGGTTTAGTGGGTAAAGCAATGGAATCCAATGTGGTTAACCCTGATTCGAATCCTAGACCCAGCAGCCTGATACACACTGGGCGCATATGTGTGTATGCTCAAAATCCTATGGAGGAGAAGGGATTGCAGCATAGCCATTCCCCCTGGGGGTGGGGGGTGATTTCTCACTTTCTGTCTCTCTGTCTCTTTCTGTCTCTCGAACAAGTGCACATGCTCTATAGCAAAAAAATCTCTAAGAACAACAACAACAAAAGATTATGAGTTCCTTCTTGATAGGAGACTCTTGGAGACTTCCCTTTCTAATTTTCAAGCTCAGCTCTACATTTTAAAACTTTTTAAAAATTGTGAGCAACTTTTCCAAGTGACTAGAGAGTAAAATAATCTTGAGAGCAAGTCCCCTTTCCCTGCTTTGACTTCATCTTCTAGTATTCAAGATCTTCTTGAATATTTGAATAAAAAAATAAAAACAGTTTTAGCACTAGTCAGCATTCCTACAGGACACTGATTTTTGAAAAGTGGAAACCCTCCCACAGAAGCAGTTGTAATAATAGTTTGGTGTAACAAAGCATGAAACATGGGGGAAAATAAATGAAATTGAGGAACAAGAAGAAAAGAAGGAAGAGAGGCAGAAAAAGAAAGCACAAGAGCAGTAGAATCAGAAATCAAAGAATAGAGAGAGAATTTAATTCCATTGACTAAGAAGCTAGTAAGCCCCCAAAATCTTTTATTCTCTTCCTCAATGAAATTAAAAGGTAAGTTGCATAGATCTTGCAACCTATCAAAACCCCCTTACTCCCCTAAGAGCATTATCTAGGAACTATACAAAATCTAAAATTTATACATAAAAGTAACCAGAAATGCTTATCCAACAGTTCACCATGTTACATTGCAACTGATAATAGAAAATGAGACGGACTCATTTCAGCCCTCTTTCCCACAAGCTTCCTGCACTATAATACCTATAGAACCTACACTCTCCCTGGGCCATGCAGAACTCATTCTTATTTGTTTTGCTTTTCACTCATTTTCTTTTAGCACTGTCTCGATCAAGTTTCGGTAAGTTCCTTTAGTATTCTTCAATTCTCTCAAGAAGATATTATCTTAAACTTCCTAGACTTCCACTAAAAACTACAGCAGAAGGTTGAGCTTCACATTTCTCTGAGTTCTTTGTTATCCATAATCAGTCACAAAGAAGGTAAATGGAAGTTTCTAGTTACTTATGATAGTAGCATACCAGCAAGAAACAGACCAATTTACAAATCTACAGTGCTAGAAAAACAGTAAATAAAGGAGGAGACCAAGGCATTAGTAAGAAAAATGGGATGAGAATGCAGATAATATAGTCAGGGCAAAGGGTGTTACCTGACTTCTGAGAATCCCAGAGCTTTCTATAGCTGGCAGGAAAAGTCAACCTTCCCTGAAGGTAACCCCAGGTCAGGCTGGCAGCAGGGAAGAGATGCCTAACCCCCACCTCCTGGAGCTGCATCTGAGGTTCAAGCTTTGATGCTCCAGGGGCTCCTTGTTTGTTTGTTTCTTTCTTTCTTTCTTTTTCTTTCTTCCTTCCTTCCTTCCTTCCTTCCTTCCTTTCTTCCTTCCTTCCTTTCTTCCTTCCTTTCTTTTTTTTTAATGAATTATTTTATTTAACTTTATTTATTTATTTTAATTTGACCAGAGAGGGACAGAGTGAGAGAGAAAGAGAGAGAGAAAGTGAGAGAAGCAAGCCACCAGGTCTGGGACTTAAATCACGGTTGGCCGTGGGTGATTTCTTGCTTTCTATCTCTCTGTCTCTGTCTCTCCAGTGAGTACACATGCCCTATAGCAAAACTCTCTCTTAAAAAAATTATTTTTAGAGAGAATTTTATTCACTTCGGAGCCAGCAGATGGTGTCCTGGCTATGTCCCTGGACTCCCACATGGCCAACCATGGTTTGCGTACTGGACCCAGTGGCTTGAAAAGTCATACGAGGCGCGCGTGTGTGTGTGCCCAAGATCCTGGGAGGAAAATGGAGTAGAATGTGGTGTGGCCATCCCCCATGAGGGTTCTGAAGTTCGTCTGCATTAGCAAGGTTTAAAACGTGGGATGCCTGTGATTGACTGAAGCCTAGTTGCTGTGATTGGCTGTAACTGAACAACCCGCTCAGAAAAACAGCCTAATATGTGCGATTTCAGCTTATCCGCAGGAATCCAAGTGTGGGAGTACAGCAGCTGGTTTAGGCCAAAATAGTTTAACAGGGTAAAATTGAGATTTTAAACACTAGATTTGACTCCAAATCCTCTGCTTATCTAACTTCTTTGAGGATAGTATTAAATATATTTAATCTTCCAATTCAAAGTATCTTTTTGAAATACATGCTTTGTTTCAGGGAATTTAGGAAGTTATGCCAATGTAAGAACAATTACTTTGCTTTTTCAAATGTAATTTGAAAATTTTAAACTACTAATTAATCTAACTTCACAATTATTGGGCTAGTTCATTATCACACCATAACCTTATCCCATGAATAAGGCTGCTTTATTATTTATATGTCCCTTTTTTGTTTGTTTTGTTTTTCAGATTATTTTGCTATAGGGGCCATGTGCTCGCCAGAGAAACAGAGAGAGAGACAGAGAGACAGAAAGCGAGAAATCACCCCCCAGGGGGGATGGCCACATCACAATCCTTTCTCCTCCATTCTTTCCTCAGGATCTTGGGCATGCACACACATGCGCCTGGCGTGAGTTTAAGCCTCCGGGTCCGGGACTCAAACCGCAGTCAACTACATGGAAGTTCAATGACATAGCCATTATGCTAACTGCTGGTCCCTTATTTATAGGACTCTTAAAAGGTGCCCTTAGAAAACTCTCAAGCTGGGGCCAGCTGGTGGTATGGTGGTTACGGCACCTGGATCCCACATGGACAACTGGGCATTTTGATTTCCTGACCCTTGGCTTGAGCAAGCGGAGCACATGTGCATGCCCAAAATCTTGAAAGGAGGAAAAGATGAAGAAGGGATTACAGCAGGACAGTCCCCTGTGAAGGGTCGGGGGTGCTTTCTCACTTTCTCTCTATCTGTCTCTATCTCTCTCTCTCTCTGGGGCACATGTGGCCATCAAGCTCAATATTTTACTTTTCTAACTAAAACAGGTTTTATTTAGTTTTGCTTTATTCTCATTATTAAGTCATAGAAAGATTATTTACTATAGAAACTAAGTGTAATATCTTCAGGTTAAAATGTACTACATAATAAATTTAGATTGTCAATTTCTCCTGTAAAATTGTCAGGGAACCCATGTGGAACAGGTATCAAAACCCTCTAAAAGGGATACCAGCAGTTAGCGTAATGGCTATGTCACTGAACTCCCATGTAGTCGAGCACGGTTCGAGTCCTGGACTCGGTGGCTTAAACTCACACTGAGCATGTGTGCATGCATGCCCAACATCCCAAGAGGAGAATGGAGGAGAAGGGATTGCGGTGTGGCCATCCTCCCTGGGGAGTGGGGAGGGTGGGGTGATTTCTCGCTTTCTGTCTTTCTGGCGTGTGCACGTACCCTATGGCAAAAACCTCTCAAAAACGAAACCAGAAAACCTCCAAAAGGGAAATTGTTCGGTGGGCTGTGACTGCTATAGCTAAGATGATAAAACTATTTCACTTGGAGAATG